ATCAATTTAAAAGCAAGTCTTGAAAATCTACAGATGTTTGAAAACTAAGTGATATACTTTCTGCATGATCCCTATGTGTCAAAGAAGAAATCCAAAGAGAAATCGGGAAATATTTTGAACTGTATGAAAATGAAAAGACAATGAATGGATTATACTTGTGGGATGCAGCCAATGCAATATTTATTGTGAAATCAATAATATTAAACTCCTATATTAAAAAGAAGAAATGTCTTAAATGAATGACTTCTGCTTCTACTTTAACAAATTAAATAAAAGCCAATCAATCTTAAAGTAAGCAGAAGAAAGGAAATAATAAATATTAGAACTGAGATCTTAAAAATTAAAACAAAAAAATAGAGAAAATAAGTGAAACTAAAAGTTGGTCATTTAAGAACATCAGTAACATTAATAAATTTGTATCCAGATTGACCAAAAAAATAGAGAAGACATAAATTTTCAATGTCAAGAATAAGAGATGTGACATCACAACCAGCACTACATATATTAAAATGATGAAGAGTTATTACAACCGACTTTATGCCAATAAATTTGATGACATATATGATTGCATAAATTCCTGAAAGACAGAAACTACCAAAGCTCACACAAGAAAAACACAACCTGGCTGGGCGAGGTGGCTCACGCCTGTATTCCTAGCACTTTGGGAGGCTGAGGCGGGTGGATCACTCGAGGTCAGGAGTTCAAAACCACCCTGAGCAAGAGCGAGACCCCGTCTCTACTGTAAATAGAAACAAATTAATTGACCAACTAATATATATATAGAAAAAATTAGCCGGGCATGGTGGCGCATGCCTGTAGTCCCAGCTACTCGGGAGGCTGAGGCAGGAGGATTGCTTGAGCCCAGGAGTTTGAGGTTGCTGTGAGCTAGGCTGACGGCATGGCACTGACTCTAGCCTGGGCAACAAAGTGAGACTGTCTCAAAAAAAAAAAAAAAAAAAAAGAAAAGAAAAAGAAAAGAAAAGAAAAGAAAAACACAACCTGAATAACATTTTACCTGTTTAAAAAAGGAAATTTATGGTTAAAAAGCTTTCCACAATGAAACTCCAGGCTCACATGCCTTCCTTGGTGAATTCTATCAAACATTTGAAGAAGAAAAGAAAACAATAGAGGTAATAATTCTACAAAACCTCTTTCAGTAAATCAAAGAGGAGTGAGTGCTTCTCAACTCATTCTATTAAGCCAGCATTAATCTAATGCTAAAACCAAAGACATTATAAGAAAAGAAAACTACGTGCCACTATCCCTTATGAATGTATTCATTCTTTAACAAGCAGAAAATCATAAATTACCTTTTCAAGGGAGCCTTTGCTGATTTCACTAACTAGTTAAATCTCCTTAAGTTGTGCACTTGTGGGAAGACATATGTATTTTCATTAGACTTATATCAACTGTATGTATTTTGGCTGGGTGTGGTGGCTCGTGCCTGTAATCCTAGCACTTAGGGAGGCTGAGGCAGGCAGATCCTTTGAGCTCAACAGTTGGAGACCAGCATGAGCAAGAGCGAGACCCCGTCTCTACTAAAAATAGAAACAAACTGGCTGGACAACTGAAAATATATAGAAAAATTTAGCCGGGCATGGTGGCACATGCCTGTAGTCCCAGCTACTCAGGAGGCTGAGGCAGGAGGATCACCTGAGCCCAGGACTTTGAGGTTGCTGTGAGCTAGGCTGACGCCACGGCACTCTAGCCCAGGCAACAGAGTGAGACTGTCTCAAAAAACAAGCAAACAAAAATATTTATTTTATAATTATGTAATTAGTATCTAGACTATATTGTTCTGTTAGGGAAAGAATGTTCCTGGACTGTTTCTGCACATTTTTTTCATTGCTGTTTAGCAGAGTATCAGGAACACAGAAAGTGCTCAATAATAACAAATATATATTTTTGAATTAATGAATGATAAGTTGTTGATGAAATGCTATAGTCTGCTATTATGCATAGTATTGATCACAGTGACACAATGTGGGTAGAATAGGATGAAGGTAGTGAGTGAGCTAAGAACATAGCCAGTTGGTTAACATTCTATTAGTTGATTAATAATTATAACCAATATATTGAGTGTATAGGATCTCCTTAGTGATATTGATTGGATTTGTTTTCTGATACAAGTAAAAGCAATACTTAGTAATTTCATTGTGTATTACCCACTTTCAAATTATTTCATAAGCACACTGATTACCACACTTTTATATTCTTGCACCTAGAGAAAATGTTTTTATCCTCTTTTAGTAACTCTTGTTTTTAAGTTAGTACTCTACCCACTATAATAGATTTCTTTTTTCTGGATTACATACAGACTCAATTTTCAGGAAATTATTTGAACTGTTGAAGATTTAAAATCGTCAAAATAATATCCACCTGTTTTCAATTAAACAGGTATAAAAGCAAATATCCAAAAATTTTACCAAAGATTATTTTTCTTACTTCACCATTGTTATCCCTGGCTTGGTGTTCAGAAATTCTACAGATCATTAGAATTTACATTAGCTAAGTATGAAGTAGGGCCTCTGATTTCTAGTTCACATCACAAATTTTATAGGTAATAGATAGGAGTTACATTTTTCTCTTAAATCAATTCAGAGTAGAATGGGAAGTCTGTAGTGAACATTTAGCATGTCTCTCCTTAACCTCAGTCTCCATAACATGACTCACTACAATAAGGAGTAAAATATAACCTTATTTTATAATATGTAAATGATTCCAGTCAGAATACCTTCTTTGGCTTTTACATGCAAGTTCTTGCCAACTATGCTGCTTTGGGAATCTGAACAAAGATGAACACACACATTTAATCCATGGTATATAATTGATGTTATTCTCTATGAAGTCTCCAGAAGATTTACAAAATTATATGCAAATGTATATACATACGTGTATGTATATATACACACATACCATGGATATACATACATGGTGTTATTTATGTTTGAATTACTATTATGTAAAATAACTTGTCATTATGTGTCATTTGTCTAATATTAAAGTAATTATTTAATCATATATGGTTGAAAATTTTGGCTAAAAACAACTTACACTTCAATATAAAGCCTTCATATAGTCATTATTTGACAATAGAAATTGGACAAGAGAATTTGGAGGTGAACATGTAATGAAGATGTTAGAATACTTCATCTAAAATTAATATTTTGAGTAGGTAAGTGAATAGATAAGAAATCAAGAAGGTTTAACTATAGTATCTAAGGACAATGGATTGAGCTTTAGGCTTGGTGAACTTGGAAAGCTATGTGATATGCTTCCTTAATTGATGAGAATACCAACAGAACAGAGAAACAAAATTGTTCTCTATTTGATTTGTATAACTTTATCTCTAGGTTCTACACAGAAGTCCAGAATTGGGCTTGTCTTCTCCTTGAGAGTGGGCAAAAGGGAATTTTGAGAATTCCTTGGAGTTTCCAATTTTTCCAGAAATTGATTGGGAATCTTTGCAAGGGCTGTGGTCTTGATTCAGTCAAGTTCTGTGAGTCACTGTTAACCATGCTTTAAAATTTCCCTGCTTAGGGGGCTTAGGGATATGGACAGGCTGTGATATGGTAGTCATGATTAGTATAAACAATTCAGATAGATTCATATCTCCTATGTGTTAAGCCAAGATATATATATATATATATATATAAATAATTTTGAAAGATGATGCAGATGTTTTTAATCTCTCAATGCTTATGAATTTGCAAATAATAATCACTACCACCACTATTTCCAGTATTTTCAACTCCTGACAACAACATTTCCAAGAAATCTGACTACTTGCCTTTGTATTTTGGGCTACTTACTAATCTCTACATTCTTGTGGAAAGCGAATTAAGAACTCATCATCTCAGTATTATGAGAATCGTGTGAAATTGCTGTGGAAAAGGTTTTACTAAAGTATTTAGGTCTTGAGGATGAATAACTCTTTAGTTGATAGATGGAGAGGCCATTATCCACAGAACAAACATAATGTGCAGTAGCAAGGAGGAAATGAAAGCATCTGGTATGTTTTGAAACTCTGAGTTCACCAAAGAGGAAGAATAAGGAGAGTAGGGATTTGGCATTATGAATTTGAGCCTGCTGGAGAAATCCTCATCTAGCAATGAAGATGTTTGATCTCTATCTCCTGAGCAACACTTTCATTTCACAAATGAAGAAGTTTACACCTAAAGTCATTTAAAAAGTTCCTAAAGCCATTATAATCAATGTGTGATTCCTGGAGCAGCAGCATTGGAATCACTTGGGAGATTTTTATAAATACAGATTCTTAGGCTCTGCTCTGGATATACTAAAACAGAATCTGCATTTAACAAAAGACCCAGAGGATTGCTTTACATTGTGTGTGTGTGTATTTAACTAGAAACAGGCATGACAATATGCATACTGTTTGGTCACTTTTTAAGACTTACTACTGCATAATGGATCTCTTTCCGTGTCAATACACATAAATGTACATTATTATCCATCATGGGTAGACTTTAAATTATTTTTTTCCATCCCTATTGATTGGTATTTATATTAATCCAATATTTTGGTATTGTAAAGCAACATCATGATTGAGAAACTCTGGCCTAAAGCTTACTGAACAGAAACAGGTCCCTGACTCTGTTCCCCCGAACTTCTATTTCTGTTACATCTTGCTGCCTTAATAGACCCTGTGGACACATCACTTTCACTGATTTTTTTTTTTCTTCTCATTGATCTTTAAGCTTAGTCTAAGGAGAAGCCCCGGAAAATGCCCACTCCTGCAATGCCATCTTAAAATCTTGCCAGGCCACGGCCAAGTGGGAGATGCCTCTGAGGTTTAGGCTGCCACAGAGTGTTTTCCAGTAACTCTGGTGACACCTGTAAGTAACCCCGGGTTCTTTCGCCAGACACCTGCAGCCTCTATTCGAGTTGCCAATTCCCGCCTCTAGGAGGCGCCAATAAGGGCAGGGCTTGAAGGCAGCGCGCGCGGCGCGTCTGATGGTTGCCTAGCGACGGTCGTCCACGCTAATCTGTGGTGAGTCGAGTCTGTCCGCTACCAAGAGGGCAGCCATGGAGAGAGAAAGGAGTTCTCTCATGCCCCTGGACATTGAGAGTCCCAAGAAAGACATGCAGCTGCGGGTGACCCCGTCGGAGATGAAGTTTCTGGACACTGTGGCCGGGAGAGTGTACCGCCTCCCCATTACTGTACACAATCTGGGCCGTAGCACACAGAAGATCCGGTTTCAGGAGCCTGTCAAACCTCAGGTGACACACTAAGGGGTGCTGGGAGCAGGACCTTGGGAGAGCGCCTCCACACCTAGGCGCCTCTCTTTTTCCCAGGGAGTAGACGTAAGGCACCTGCGGGGGTGGGAGAAGGTTTGTGCTTTCGGGGAACAGTGAGTTAGGGGTGTGTTTGTGTGCTTTCATTTTTTGTTTTGTTTTGTTTTGTTTCCTTTTTGCTAGGGGAAACCTTCCTATTTCTTCTAGAGCCTCCCTATTTCTTCATCTATGACTGTTTACTTATAACAACCTCAAATCTATGCAACTTGGTTTTATAATTCTGTAGTTGCCCTAAGCATTGTGAAAACAAAATTCTCTATCAACTACCCTATGAATCTTGAAGTGCCTCATTACTCCAGAAACTGTAGGATTAGTGGAAAGGTTTATTATTTCATATTTTAACACCTTTGTTGAGCACCTACTATATAACAGGCAGTAGGTGTGAGGAGTACAGGAAGGACACAGCCCTGCTCTCACAGGACTTAGAAACTAATGTGGAAATTTTAGTCTAGCCATCATCAAAATTGATCTTCTGAGAGGCCGTTTCTATTAATATCTTCTAATTTAATAGTGGGCAAAATTTCATCTCTATCTCACTGTGTTATTTTACCTCATAATATGTGAAAGGATGGCTATTAGTTCATTATAATCACTCGTTCTCAGGAAGACTTTTGATAAAGATAATGTGATAAGAATTTTTGATGTTTAAGCAATAAATAACTGAAAATTTTCAGGAGATATTCCTAATGATAAATAACGTTGAATGCAACTGGGCTTACATACACAGAAATAAAAGGATATCCATGTTTTTTAATTAAAATTACATATATTTGCTTGTACATACATAGAAAAACCTATGTTAGTGATTAGGAGGGCAATTAGAAAAATAACTTTTATTTCCTATTTTCTTTTTAAAAATTGATATACTATTTACTTACGTTAAAGTGCCCAGATCTCAAACGTAATGTTTGATGAATTTATAAATATATGTGTGTGTATATATCTATATCTATCTATCTATCTATCTGCATCTCCATTAGCCATCACCTGGATCAAATCATAGACTATATTCAGCTCCCTAGAAGATCTTTAGTGCCTATTCCTTACAGTACCTGGAGTAATCACCCCATGGAGGTAACCATTAGTCTGATTTCTAACATCGTAGGTTAATTTTGCTCATTCTTGATGTTCATATAAATAGAATCTTGCTTTAATGATTTTTGTGTTTGAATGTTTTTATTAAAAAGTACACCTCAAGAGACTATTAACTTCTCTTTAAATCAAAAAGTATGTGATTATTCCAGATACTGTAAAATTAGAGAAAAGCTTTATTATTTCACTACTTTAGCATATATTTATTCAACAATTGAGCGCATGTATCTGAAAATACTTTCTTTTGAAACTCAAGCTGACAGTAATTCCTAGATGTGAACAAACCCTATTTTATGGATGTTCAGGGGACACTTGTGTGGATGGTTTCTGTGCAGTAAGAAGAACAAATATTATAATTAGTCTTATTTTGGTTTGTATCTAGAGTTATAACGGAAAAAATCAGGCCACATTTCTTGACATTGATAAGAGAAAATAGCCAGTTCTCAGTGTGAATTTTTCTTTGTTGCAAGGCCGTGATATACACTCCTGATCCTTTATAGGCATAAAGAGAATTAGGGAAGAAATAGATTAGAGAAAAAATATCAACTGTCTTCAGGGAAATAAATAAATAAAATCAAGGTGCTGTTTAAAGGGCATTGTCATCATCACTATATTAGTTAACTAGAAAATGAGTCTCCTAATGCACAGCTATGCTTGTTTTCCAGCATGGCTCAAGGACCTGCATTGACCCTATGTATTGAATACCCACTATGTGCCATATGCATTACCATATATCATCTGCTGTGGGTTTCTGGTAGAAAAATAAGATGACACAGTTATTATTTTCAAGAAATATAGAATTGATAGTCTTGTGCCTGATTTTTAATACCACGTTTGAATCTTGCTGACACTGTCCATCTTAAAGTATTTTGCTGACTTGTGTGACCTCTGGTTTGGTCAGACTTGTCTTATTCATAATTGTCCCCTTTTCTCTATGACACAGACTTCCATTTTTTTTGACCCATGTTTTCATTCCCTCTTGCCCTCAATAATCATCCCTTTTCAAATTCCATCCATCTTTTAAGGTCAATGTGAAGTTTCATTTTCTCTAAGAAGTCTTCTTTTATATTATTCCCAAATTATTTCCGCCTTGCTGGATACCATTTGCATTTATAGACATTCCTTATACTTGAGACTTGTGTCCCTATGACTCTTGGTAAATATTAATACTCTCTTAATTGTCAGCTCATAAGCTGCTATGAGTAGGAATGATTCCTTGCACACCTTTGCGTATCACTAAGTGTGCCCAGCAACTGGTAGTTTGACCAAAAGCACATGCTTCTGAAGCACTAGTTTCCTTCTTGAAGCTATAAATTTGTTAAAAGAAGATACTTTGATTGCTGGATTTTGCAAAGGCCTATGTGGGAAATCCTCTCCCTATCCCTTGTTTTCCTTTTGTTCTGTAAGTACAGGGAGGTTGAGAGTTGGAATTTGGTAGCTATGAGTAATAAAGTATCAGAATCATTGTTTGCTGGAAGTATGACACTCTTAGATCAGCGTTATCAATAAATCACTCCACTTCTCTATAGCCGTCATTGCTGCAAAGCACTGTTTAGATTCAGCCTAGCAGTAGAATACCTGATTAATTAATTTCGGTATGACCTTCATTGTTACTGATTGAGGACTTTGCCCAGTGAGGCTGGCTTATTAATTGCCTTCTGAGAGACTATTTTGCTTATTCTTTTTTTTTTTTTTTTTTGAGACAGAGTCTCACTCTGTTTCCCCGACTAGAGTGCCGTGGCGTCAGCCTAGCTCACAGCAACCTCAAACTCCTGGGCTCAAGCAATCCTATTGCCTCAGCCAGCCTCCTGAGTAGCTGGGACTATAGGCATGTAGCCACCACACCCGGCTAATTTTTTTAATATATATATTTTTAGTTGGCCAATTAGTTTATTTCTATTTTTGGTAGAGACAGGGTCTCGCTCTTGCTCAGGCTGGTTTCAAACTCCTGACCTTGAGCGATCTGCTGGCCTCGGCCTCCCAGAGTGCTAGGATTACAGGCCTGAGCTACCACGCCTGGCCCTATTTTACTTATTCTTGTCTCTGCTTGTGTCTGAGATATTTCTATCCCCATAATGAGCACCTTCCTTGCTTTTTCTCCACCTTTGAATTCCATCCTCTAAGCCTAGGTCAAATACACTCCTTTCTAACCCACAGAAAATCATGTCTTGTGGATTTTCAGGATTACTTAAGTCTGCATCATTCATATGGCACTTAACTAGTCTCTGGTGTATATTTAATTTTCAAGGAGTAGTCTTCTTCCTGAAAGAGATTATATATTCAGTAGAGGGGGACTCTTACCAGTTGAGGGGAAGGAAGAGTTTAAGATTTAGAGTCAGATAGATAAGTGCTTTTGAATCCTTGCTGCCTGAGTGACTTTAGACATTAATTACACTCTATAGGTCCCAATTTCATCATCTGTATGCTGAGGGCCTTGATATCAGCCCCATAGGACTGTAGAAGTGTATTATGTAAGATAATGGATGTAGAATGCTTGACACATCATAAGTGCACAACAGATATCAGTTCTCCTTTTTCTCCCTTCATATATTACCTGGAATTTAACAAGTGTTTTACCAGAACAAAAGTGTTTTTCTCCTCTTTGATCTACTCCTCTTTTATATTTTCTCCAAGTTGTAAAGCCTAAGCTCTCATACAAAAAGTGTCTAAAATACTATATTCTCTCTGTATATAAAATATATATCATATGTATATGCATGCATGTATATATTATGTGTGTATTAATATATCTGCAATATCTGGATAATAGTCCCTAACCTTTTTGGCACCAGGGACCAGTTTCATGGAAGACAGTTTTTCCACAGACCTTTTCCATAGGTAGAAGGATGATTTCAGGATAATTCAAGTGCATTACATTTATTGTGCGGTCAAACCTCCCTGCTAATGATAATTTGTATTTGCAGCTGGTCCCAGCACTAGCATCACTGCCTCAGCTCCACCTCAGATCATTAGGCATTAGATTTTTATAAGGAGTGCACAACCTAGATCCTTCGCATGCACAGTTTACAGTAGGGTTAGAGCTCCTATGAGAATCTAATACTACCACTGATCTGTAGGAGATGGAACTCATGTGGCGATGCCAGGGATGAGTAGTGGCTGTAAATACAGATGAAGCTTAGCTGGCTCACCTCCTGCTGTACAGCCCTGTTCCTAACAGATCACGGACTGGTACAGCTCCAGAGGGTTGGGGATGGCAGACGTATGTGATTGAGCAACATTTTTATTAGGTTGCTCTTCATTTCTTGTATTAGATTTTAAGCTGCTTAGAATAGAGGCCACATCAGTTCTGTAGATATCTCATATTTCTAAAATATCCTATGTGCATTTACATGTTTCTCAACTGCCTAGTCAGATTCAATTTGTGTACTGTAGAAAGCATATCTTAAATATCTAGAATCTGACAGATATAAACATGAGCATTAATTATTTGTTTTTAGGCACAGAGAGACAAATATCACATGATCTTACTTAGATGTGGAAGCTAAAAATTCAAACTCGTAGAAGTAAAGAATAGAATGGTGGTTACCAGAGGCTGGGGAATACGGTGGGTAGGGAAAAGGAAAATGTTGGTCAAAGGGTACAAAGTTTCAATTAAACAGGAAGAGTAAGCTCTGATCTATTACATAGCAAGTAGAGTATAGTTAATAATAATGTATTATATATTTCAAAATTGCTAAAAGAGTAGATTTTGAATGTCCTCACCACAAAGAAATGATAGTTATGTTAGATGCTAGATATGCTAATTTGCCTGATTTGCTCATTCCACAGTGTATATTTGTGTTGGTATATCACTTTGTACCCCATAAATATTAATATATACAGTTATTATTTGCCAATTCAAGATAAAATTAAAATTAAAAAGTCTTTGCCTTTAGTGCAGGAATACGGGCTATGTGTTGATAATAGTATATACTCCTAATTACAGTTGCTCACATTATTTCTTTATAAGGAGTTAAGATATATAATTTGATTCTTTTTCTCTCACTGAAGTTCAAACTGATTTTGACCAATCTGGATAAAGCACTTGCTTCTGGCCTTCAGATGACAGCTATGGTGGAATATCATCCTGATAAAAATGAAGACACTTTTGACCAACTACTTATTTCAGTAGGAAATAAGACAATAGAAATTCCTTTAATTGGGTATGTAATCTTCGTATTTCATGCTGACATTTTGAACACTCATCAATAAAAATAACAAAGTAATATTCTGTATTTTCTCTGCCTTGTATTTATAATTTCCTTACAGCTGAAGTTAGAAGGCAACCTTTTAGAAAATTGTGGAGTTTTAACAAATGGAGGCCTCATTGTCTAGTATTTTTTATTAAAATAACTTAAAACATTCAACAATTGAATGTATTGTTAATTGTATTTTTTCAAACTTGCATTAACATTTCAATTTACTTTTAAAGTATTTTCATGTTCATGTCATTAAATTTTAAACAAGGCAGATGCTTGGCTTAAAAAAATCAAAATGCTGCTTTTTTGAGATTGGTTGAGAAAGGTAAGTGGGTATAATAACCCAGAACTAAAAAAATAAAATAAAATAAAAAATAACCCAGAACTAAGTGACTGACTCAGAGATAATGTCTATACAAATTATTTATTTGACCAGCATGAATGATGATTCATTTATTGTTTCCTTTTTATAACAAAAACATATATTTCTGTTTATTGTAAAATTACCTATTGAAGTTAATGTTAAAATATAAAGTGCTTTTATTCATATACATACATGTATGATTTTCCTTTTTCCCAGCAAAATGTGGTTCCATAGGTGTTATTGTTTTTTCTCTATTTTTTCAGAGTTAATATTGTAATATTTTCTGCTTATTACATAGTATTAGACATAAACCTTTTTATAATTTCCCTTATGTTTTTCTCATTTACATAACTAAATTTAGATATGCAATTATTTTGTTCTCTTTTGTTGAGACGTTCTAATTTAGCGTACCATCCCATTTTTAATGGAAATCAAACAGTTGACATATGGTAGGAAAGAAACAAGTTATTAACACATCATAAATATCTAATTTTCATTTTGCAGTTTAAGTAGGGCCATTTTTGGTGCATTCTGCATTTTGACCTACCTGTGACTGGCACTCACATATGCTTGTTTGTGCTACCCACAGAGAGAAGGGCTGAAGATGCTTCTGCCCTAGAAAACAGAGACTTTGTCTCATTTCCCTTCTCATGAGAAGCCTATTATTCGTCACGGTTACAACATAAGAAGAGCATTAGCCCTCTTGAAGTGTGATGGACAAGGTTGAAGGAAAATGTTGGGGGAATGTGGCGGAAGGCAGAGCAGGAGGGAGAGAGACAGGAAGGCAGAAAGTTTGCTGCTATGTGTCTTTTTTTTTTCTTTAATCAGATGATTGAAGATTCACATGCAGCTGTAAGAAATAAAGAAATAAAACAGAAGAGATCCCTCCCTTATGCATTTTTTCCTGTTTCCCCCAAGGGCAACATTTTGTAAAAGTGTAGGATAATAGCACAACTAGGAAATTGACATTGATACAATCCACCTATCTTATTAAAATTGCCACAGCTTTACTGGAACTGTGTGTGTGTGTGTGTGCGTGTGTGTGTGTGTGCGTGTGTGTGTGTGTCTATGTGAATGTGTCTGTGTCTGCGTTATTAATTTTTATACATTTTTATCACCTATGTAGGTTCTTGTATCTACTACCACAGTCAAGATACTGAACAGTTCCAATTCCACAAGGATCCCTTCTGTTGCTTTGTTATAACTACACCTACACCACTCCCTTCTGCCTCATACTCATGATTCCTAAACTGTGAAAGCTGCTAATCTGTCATTTATTTCTAAAATTTTGTCACAAATATGTTATATAAATTGAATCATATGGTATATAACCTTCTGGGTTTTTTTCTCAGCAGAATTCCCTGGAGATTCAACCAAGTCATTGCATGTATCAATATTTTGTTCTTTTTTATTGCTCAGTAGTATTTTATGTTATGTGCACCACAGGTTGGTTTGACCATTGACCTGTTGAAAAACAAAGGGGGTGATTCCAGTTTTTCATTATTGCAAATAAGTTGCTTTAATATTCTTGTACAATTTTAATGTGAACATGGTTTTCATTTCTCTGGGATAAATGCCCTTGTGTGTAATTTCTGGGTCATATGGTAATTGTGTGTTTAGTTTAATAAAAAATCCCAAATTGCCTTTGAGAATGGCTATACCATTTTACATTCCAATGTGCAATGCATGAGTAATCTGTTTTTGCTGCATCTTTGCCAGTATTTGTTGCTGTCACTATTTTTAAATTTTAGCCATTTTAACAAATATGTACTAGAATCTTTTTGTAGTTTTAATTTGCATTTCCATGTTAGCTAATGATGTTGAACATATTTTCACATGCTTCTTTGACATCTGAGTATACTCTCGGTGAAATGCCTGTTAATGTGTTTTGCCTGTTTTCTAATTGCATTGCTTTTTATTATTGAGGTTTGTAATTTCTTTGTATATTTTGGATCCAAGTGTTTTGATGGATATGTGGTTTGCAAATATCTTCTCCCAGTCTGTGGCTTGATTTTTCATGCTTTTAATAGGGTATTTTATAGAACAAAATATATTTTTTTCATTTCAATGATGTACAATTTATCAATTGTTCTTTAATCATGCTTTTAGTGTCATATCTAAGAACTCTTTGCCTAACCTTTGATCCTGAAGATTTCTCTAATTTTTTTTTTTAATTTTATGTTTTACATTTAAGTCTATGATACATTTTGAGTTCATCTTTGTATGAATGTGGAGTTTACATTGAGGTTCAGGTTTTTTAAAATGTTTTTTTGGTCTACAAATATCCAATTGCTCTGACCACATTTGTTGAAAAAGCTAACTTCCTCCGTTGAATTGATTGTGTCCCTTTGTAAAAAAAAAAAAAAAAAAAATCAGTTGAGTATATTTGCATTGGTCTATTTCTGAGTTCTGTATTTAGTTCCATTGATATATATGTCAATACCTCTGCCAACATCATGCTACCTTAATTACCTTTGCTAGAGAGTAATTCTTAGTATCAGATAGAGTAATTCCTCACACTTAAATTTTCTTTTTCAAGATTAGTTTAGATATCCAAATGTCTCCACCTTTCCGTATAAATTTTAAAATAAGCTTTGAGACTGCAAGAAAAACTTGCTGGGATTTGGTAAGAAATGAGTTAAATCTATAGATCAATTTGAGGAAAATTAATATCTTTGCCATGGTAAGTGTCCCAATATATGAATGTGCTATGTCTTTTCATTTATTTAAGTCCCATCTGATTTTTTCTTAAATCAGCACTTTTTAATTTTCTGCACAAAGATCCTGCACATGTGTTGTTAAGTGTATAATTATCTAATTTTCTTTGGAATGATTATAAATGATAGTGATAATGTGTTTTTAACTTTGGTTTCTGCATGTTCCTTGTGAGTATATAGAAATGTGATTGATTTTCCTTGTTGTTAGTATATCCTCTGACCTTGCTGGACTCCCATTTTAGTAGGTTTTTGTATGTTTGTTTTTAGATTCCATGTTACCTTATATGTAAACAATCATGTTATTTGGAGACAAAGATAGTTTGTCTCCCCCCCACACTTCCCAAGTGCATGCCTGTTACATCTCTGTCTTCCGTAGCTAGAACTTTCAATACTATCTTGAGTAAGAGTGGTGAGACAGACATCCTTTCACTGTTCCCAATATTAGGGGAAACCATTCAGTCTTTCACCATTAAGTATGACTTTAGTTGTCAGTATTTTTAGATAGCCTTTATCAAATTGGAGTAATTCCATATAACTTGCTGAGAGTTTTTATCATGAAGGAGTTGTGAATTTTATCAAATGCTTTTTCTGTGTCAATTCATATCATGTCATTTTTTTCTGTAACTTATTGATATGACGGGTTACATTGATTAATTTTTGAAGATTGAATCAGACTTGCCCTTGTATACATGGATCAAATCCCTCTTGGTCATGGTGTATCATTCTTTTCATACATTCTGGGATTTGGTTTGCTAGTATTTTATTAGAGATTGCTGTGTCTCAGTTTATAACAGATATTGGTTTATATTTTGTTTTGTTTATTCATTTATTTCTTGTCTGTTTTGTATTGTCATTGTCTGGTTTTACTGTGAAGATAGTACTAGACTCGTAACATGAATTTAGAAGTGTTCCCTTTCTTCTATATTCCATAAGAGCTTATTTATAATTATTTAAATGGTAGAATTTTCTAGTGAAATCATCTGGCCTGGAGATTTCTCTTTCAGGACACTTTAAATTATGAGTTCAGTATTTTGATGCTTATAAGGCTATTCATGCTGCCTATTTTATTATCTTGATTAAGTTACTGTAGTTCATGGTGTTCAACGAATTCTTCCAATTCTAAGTTGTCGAATTTATGTGTGGAGTTGTTAGAAAGTTTGATCTAGATCAAAGGGGGCCTTTAGAGGGGAATGTTAATATTACCAACTATTATTGTATATTCTTCTATTTCTCCTTTCAGCTTTTTAGTTTTTGTTTAGTGTATTTAGAGCCTTTGTTGTTTATTATATTCACATTCATGGTCATTATGTCTTCCTTGTAGATTGAGCCTTTTGTTATATATAATGTCCCTCTTTGTCCATGGTAATTTTCTACCACTGAAGCCTACTTTGTCAGATATTAATGTAGCCCTTTCTGCTTTTTTTCTAATAAAGTTTGTATATTATTTTTTCTCTGTCCTTTTACTTTCAACCTAGTATGTCCTTCAATTTAGGTTGAGTTTCTTCTAAACAGCAGCATATAGTTGGGTCTTGTTTCCCCCTACCTCAATACTGCCAACCTCTGTCTTTTGATTTTTGTATTTAGACTATTTATATTTAGGTTAATTTTTATATGCTACAACTTAAGTCTAATTTTTTATTATTTGTTTTCTTTCTCATACCTATTTCTTAATTTTGCATTCTTGTAGGTTAATTAAAGTTTATTTTAAGATTCCATCTTGATTTATTTATAGTTTTATATGTATCTCTTTGAATAGTTTTTATAGTGCTTTCTTTGTATATAATTATATATATATATGTGTATGTGTGTGTGTGTGTGTATGTGTGTTATACAATGTTCTACTGGTATAGACATTTTATCATTTTGAGTGAAATGTAAATTTT